TCCACTCAAAGCCTTACAAACGACAGAAATCAGCATTGGAGCAGCAACTTTTCAAGTTCCTGGGTGCTCTCTACCCCCCCGAGGACTGTGACGTCATGTACTGCACAAGACATTGTTAAATTTCTTATTTCTAAGGATAACTCAGGTAGAACTGTGGTTCACTTGCTCTCGTGCTCTAAAAGGGATTGTGGTTGTCCGAAACGCTTAGCAGCGGGGTCAGTTGACTCCACTCTCGGTCGCTTGAGAGCTATTTTCAATAAGCTGGGGCACGCTAACGACTCCAACCCTGTTGCCCATCCCCTAGTTAAGGATTACTTCAAGTTTGTTAGGGAAGAGCAGGCAGCTTTGGCTATTATGCCTTCTCAAGCGGTCCCATTATTTTTCGGGAAATTTCAGCGGTTAATTGCTCATCTCCCGGATTTGTGCTCCAGCAGCCTATCCCTTTCTAGCGTGGGTAAATACATCCTTGTAAGAGATGCTACCTTTTTCATTGTGGATTTTTTCACCGGTGATAGGGCTTCGGACCTCAACCTCCTTCAATCTTGTAACGTGTTTCGGTTAAGAGACCGGGAGGGTTTTTTGCTTAGATTTACCCTCACCAAGAATTTGCGCAAGGGACCCTCCTCCCCCGCTTTCTCGCTTTGATTAAATTCGCTCACTCTGATGTTTGTGCAGTCGGATGGTTTCAGTATGACATCACGGTTTGTCAATGCCTCAAGGTGCCTTTAGATCAGGGGTACTTTTTTCGGACCACAGAGCGTAGCGGATCAATAAGGAGCAAGCCTTTTATGGGCTCTGCTGTGAACAACAGGCTTAGGAAGCATCTTTCAGAGGTTAAACTCTATGCCGGGGAAAGTCCACATAGGGTGGGCCTATCCAATACCCTCAGGCTGCTAGGTTGTTCTTCGGAGGACGTTGCTCATTACCTGGGTTGGAAAAGTGGGGAGGTCGCCAAGCGGTATATGCAGGGGTCGGATGCTACTGTATCTCTTACGCTTCTAGAAAAGGTTTTCCTAAGGGCAGCTTCTGGGACAGTTACCCCGGTTTCACACCCTGATAATTTGCAGGCGGCAAAATTTTGTTTTGCTGTGTTTGCGGTATTATGGCTCTCGCTTTTCTGTTTTGTCTAGGACTAGGATAGGTTGGGGTTTTTTGAGTAATGGAGAATAAAGATGTTTGGAGATCTAGTTCCTTGGTTTTCTCGTTCTTCTGTGCCTTATTTAGGCCTAGGCAGCGTTATGTCTGGGACAGGAGCAGCATCTTTCCATAACTTAGTTCTCCGTGACGGGGTAATAGGTGTGCACTGAGGATATTTTACTATTCTCACTGCATACATAATTAGCCCGTAGCATGGGAAGATTTAAATCAGTTAAATTCCGTCCTGCCGCGCTCGGTTTTAGCCACTTCCTGGCCAGTTCTACGGAGTTCGGCGAAAGTGGCGTTTAAGTTTCGCCCCTCCCACCTCCCCTGGTGGCAGTTGGCTTCGCCTTTGTGCTATGTTCGGCACGCCTATTGCCCTAACAGTCGTGGGATCTTTCCATAACTTAGTTCTCCGTGACGGGGTAATACTACTATTACTATTTCGATTCTACATGATGGACAATGCGTGGGAAAACGTTTAAATAACAAAGAGCACAAGCTTGAGATACAGTTCAAAGGATGCAAGTTAGGATGGGCCACAAATGTTAAGCTGCAGGCCTTGATATTGATGAACTTAGTTTTTTATTAACGTGGCGGCAGCCACGGGAGTTGCTGCACCAACTGCATTATCAGCGAAGATAAGGATTATTACGTCGGAAAGCTAATGGATATCGTCGAAAATGCAAATAAATCTTACGAAGATGTGAAATGCTGAAAATGTTTTAACAGTGCCGAATGTAACAGAGACAACTACAATGGTGGGCTCCAAATCGGCACGAGGGCCGTTACGAGGAAATCGAAACTTTCATGAAGATGAGGCTTGAGTTCAACAAGAACGCTCTAAGTAGCGTTGAGTCTCGCTTGTTTGTAGATAAGATAAGAAGTGAGGAGGTGAATAGAGCGCGAGCGTTCGTCACTCGGGGGGAAGGCGCTCTGCATATGGGATGGGATGCTCGTCGTCTTGCTTAGGCCGGGGTATAAATGTCAGATTTTGGTCTCACTTACGGTGTTCTGGGAAAAACGGTATTATATTTAGCCGTGAAGGTCTTGTTTAGGGTTGCATGTGAAAAAATATAAAAATACGTGTATTGTCTGAGTTATCAAAACAAACTATTAATAACAACATGTAAACGAATAGGTTTCTGATTATTTACCTGGAGGCGCCAGTAAACCATTCCTTCTGTTGGACTTCACACGATCTCAGTTCACACATTTTCGCAAAGATAACTATCATGTCGAATAAATTGCAGCTAAGCGTACGAATCTTCAAGTTATAGGATAAAAGCGGATAATTCTGGTTACGGCGTCTATTGTCTTTTTATGAAAAAAAAATGAATAAAAGAATAGGATTTGGATGACCGAATGTTATTCTTAGCGAAAGCACGCGAACTTACTATTCATAACAGGACAGTTCATCAAAGGACTGGGACTGAGCAAGTGGTTGCTATGAAGATGCTGCACTTGAACAGCGACATCGTCAGGATCGATCGAACTAAAACGCAGCAATCAACCAAGTAGTGGTAAAAATTCGCTTTTTCAGTCACGATATGATCAAGAACAGGGAAAATGTATCAATTTTCATAATTTACTTTCTAGAAGAGCTCTTGCTTATTTTCAAAACGGCCACAGTGTGAGACTGGAGCGAAAACTTCGAACTCGTGCACGTGAATGTTTGCGCACTACATGTAGTAGAAGAATAACCCGAGAAACAGAAGTAACATTGCGACTTTTGGTCCATGACTTGGACGAACGTTGGTGAGTAATAAACGAATTTTAAAGATTGGGTTTTTAACTGAATTTTATGTGTTGTCTGTCTCCCGAGTTTTATTGACGACTCAAATGATTTGAAATGTCAGACAGGTACAACTGATTTCATTACGCATAATGTTTTATAGTCGTTGAAACTCTTTTCTTTGAGGTGTTATCACTCGAAACGTTTGATTTTTATCAAACGTTCTCTTAGACCGTTAGACGATTGTTTCTTGAAGCCATTAATGCGCCCGTTAGAAAAGTTCAAAAAAGTCGTTACGAAAATCAAAGCAAATCCATTCGAATGCTTTTGTAGGTCGTTAGATTTTTTCGCCTACTCGTTCAAACCATTAGCCAACCCATTAAAGGCGTTAGAAAAGCTGTTAACAAGCCGTTCGTTAGCCATTAGTTTTTACCCGTTAAACGGAAAACCGTTAGTGTACGTTTTCCTGGAGACGGTCACATATTCTTGTTGGTGCACAGCAGGTCACCCAAAGGGTGACGGAAGAACGTCGCCCAAAGGGCGACCGAAGCGCGAAGTGGCGAGTAAAAAAAAGGATAAGGGAGGATACTTGTACCACGTGACTTAGTTCTTTGTGAACCGCATCCCTCGGTAACGGAAGTGAATGAGACCGGAAATGCAAAAGCAACAGACCACTGCTAATTCGAGAATCAAAACATCAGCTGCGGAGGGAGTTTTAAAGATCTCAGAGATCTATGTGAAGGCAACAGAGTTTTAAGTGAAGTGAAGATCTTTCAAGTCTGAACATTTGCTGTGTACATGCCAACAGTCTTCGATGTCTTTAAGCAGGTTTCGCTTGTGTAAAGGCTTCCCACTACCCAGTCGCAAAACGAACAGCCAAAGACACAAGAGGTAACATTGTTGGAACCACCGAAGAATGGCTCCGTCGTGATGATATTACAGTTGCCTTGTACCTCCGCTCTACTCAGTATTACGTTTTATTGCAACAGTACACACGACCTGTAAATCACTACCCGTAATAATTTAAGATTTTCCAAACAAAACTAATGAGTTGGGCTTAATGTGATACAGCATTGCACAAAAACATTACATTCATGGATGGACTATAGAAAATCGCTTAGTTATTCAGATCCAGAAGATACTTTGGAGAAAATTGGAACCCTTATTCAGCTGTAATAGAAAGCTTCACCATCATGCTTCAAAATAGTCTGCTACACAGTCATTTTTAGTGTCATCACGCAACGCTCTTCCCCGCTAATAGCCACAGTAAATCGATGTGTGTAGTGATCTCTCAGTGTGAAACATGCGGGTAAAATAACATTTACTCAGTGAAAATGTAGAACCTTCCAGAGCATAATCTACCCAGCAGACGAAAAAAACGTTATTGGAACAAGCAGCATTTTGCCATGAGGTAAAAGTCGTGTAGGTTTACCATCTCCTTTTATTGCTCTGATCTTGAACACTTTTACCTTACTACGTCATTTCTGTCGTCATCTGTTGCAGTGGACAGCAAACGGAAGTGCTGTCTTGAAGCTGTAAATTTCGGTCTCCGAAAATGAATTTGAATTCTTTTTCATGCCGTTTTCCTACAGTATTTCGCAAATACATAAGAATTCTAGATCAGGTTAGTCAAATCAGGCAATTTCATTGAATTTCATTTGAGTTTCAAGGATTCGAAAATCGGCCCAAGATTTGTTTCCTCGACATTTATCATCGCCTTTACAATAATATTAATGATGTACGAAATATCAAGTTTTTCGTTACAATTAAATATCCAGCATCATGAAAAAAAGGAAAAGAATCAGGCTGTTGAACACGAGAGGTAAATTAATGACGATTTGCTTGTTGTTTTTTACCTCATCATCGAAGTTCTGCTCATGAACATTCTTCCTTGTTTCAACATCTGATGCATTCACTTCTTTCAAAGTTATCAATGCTTTCAAACGACAGAATTCGTAGAACGAACCATTCCAAAAACGCTCGATATCTTTTAGTGTGGGTCTACCACGAATGGTGTGGATTTGTAAGCGACATCACCGTATAATCCATTAATCTTTCCAAATTTTTCGTCTCAAAACATAACATTCGGACAATTGCGCGTTGTTTTTTGAAGCGTTCACTGAGATTGAGAGCGTCGTGTCGATTTTCATCCCCAGATTCTGCGCTACCATGACCCGGAACACGTCTTTCCAAAACTATTCTTTTTGTCACGTTTAGCTGTATTTACTTTTTCGCACGTGATCGTGAAGGTCAGAACCAAATTACCATAAGATCAGAGAGTTTACAGTTTTACTTTTTGTTATGTCTGTTTTGCACTTACGATTTTATCGGCTTACTATGTCATTACAGGAGCACCCAATGAGAATATAGTTCAAAATCACTTAAATGCAGCATTGTTGAACGTATTTTAGTATTTAAACGGTAGATATAGGCATATTTTTATCCCCTAAAAATTTCTATCTGTTCGGGTTTCCTAGCTGAAAGTCTAGTGATGCGAAAGTTATAGGGATCAAAACTTTCCTTTTCGAAAATTTCAGCCAGAAAAAAGGCTCCCGAAAATTCTAGGTGACCTTTTTAGGGTAAAAATCCGTTAAAACTGGGCAATTATACCATTTTTTAGATGTTCGAAAATCCCAGGAGAGGCAGGCAAGCAAGAAATTTTACAACAAATGGTCCGAAAATTCTAGCTCTCAAATAGTCTTCCGAACAGATATTTTCCCAAAAATTGGCG